CACACACACACACACACGCACAGTAGATCTGTATCTACTAAAAGTCCAAATTTAGGTTTGAACATGGCTTATGAATTCTTTTTATAAATACACATGCACACAAAGTTCTCCATCACTATGGCTTTTTAAAAAGAAATCTAAGTGCACATGTGTACATAGCTCTGTAATGAGCGCACATAAAGTATAATGCCAGTGGACACATGCAGGTTACATTTTTAAATACAGACTCGCAAGGCTCAGATACAGAATGGCGTCAGCAAAGCCCAACAGTTATGTATCTGATAACGTGACACCAGCTACTGTCGTGCATGCAGCTCGATACCAGTATTCTTTCAAAAGATTTACAATTTAAACTCACACACAAATATATCTGTTTCAGACCTGCTTTCATAAAAGTTTGGACATGCTTTGCAGGTTAAATATACATGCACATGACGTTCTGCACCACTATGACTTTAAAAAGATGCTTCAATTTAGGTACAAAAACATATGCGCTTAAACTGAAGCCTCAGTATAAGCGCACACTTACAGGTAGCTCTAACGTAAGCTTGCGTGAAGATGTCATAATGTCAGCTAGTTACTACAACTAACTAAAGATTTGTAAGATCTTTACAATAGTGCTTCGATAATATTACACTAATGTGGTCACACTTTCTGTACCACAACTGGTTTTTTCAAAAGTTTAAATTGAAGTTTGAATATTCATTATGTGGCTGCTTTAATGAAATGATAGCTGAAGAAGAAATGCACATAAAGTTCAGCACCACACCTGCTTAAAGATGCATCAATTTAGGTGCAAAAACATGTGCCAGGCCTGCTTTTAAATAGGTAGACTCTACCAGTAATATACCTGTGTTGATGAAGTCACACTAACCACCGTCGTGCATGTAGGTCACACACCTGCCTGAAAAATGCTTCAGTTTAAGCACACACATGCAGGTAGTTCTGTAAGTGGCTTAATGCAAGGTATAGTTTTAAATACAGACAGACTTAAATATCTGGAAGAAATATTTAAATTGGTTTAATTTAAAACTTGCAGACAATTAGAAATACTTCACTTTATTAGTCCCACGTGTGGGACTAATAAAGGTTATCTTATCTTATCTTATCTTATTTTATCTTATATGAGACCGTGTGCTTTAGACGTACTTTTTCAAATGTTGTTTTATCATTTTTTGTGGCGTAGTAGTTCTAGTAGCAGAAGAAGTTAGGTTTTAGTAGTATATGCATGCAGGTAGTGCTCTAATAATTCAAATACGATTGGTCACTCTGTAAAGCATCTTTCCTATAAGAAATCCGGGCGTCAGTGTCACCATCATAATAGGAAATTATTTTCAAATGAAAAAATAGGCATTTATGATATGTAAGCTAGCTAAAGATATCTACTTGAGAAGTGTACCTACATTGTTGAGCTTGTGTAATATTACAATATAACACAGTGTCACCTTCGCTATGTCGACCCACGAGTGACTGTAAGAGGTGCTGGCAGTACTGTTCTGGTGCTCCGTCACAAAAAATCAAATGAACATATTTATGTACATATATACATACATATATTACATATAATGCAGTCAGCATTATGTATGTATATAATAAACATAGTAAAACCATTAAAAATGTGTACACGTACATACACTGAATAGTGAAAAAATACTGCGTTAAAAAGTTTGCACCTTTTTTTTCATCAGTGTGTTTTTGAAGGATTTGGGACATTGCACTGTTTAAGTTGGCGGTCAAACAAGTAATACATTATATACATAATTATGCATAATGTATAGTCAATACATATAACGGGGTACGTTAATTTACTGAAGATCAGGATCAAGAGCTACAGTTTTATTTTATATAATTTGGACTAATGCAGATGATTTCTTTGATTACGCCAACAGAAGCCGACCCAAATAAGAAAAGTAGGCTGCGACCAGAAAGGCATGGAAATGCATGTTTTTGGCCATAGCGTGCACTTACTCTCAGCAGCTTTTACAAACTAAATTGCATTCATGTATTTTTGAGCAAGATGCTTTATAACATTATAGACAAATATGACCTTTTAAAAAAAAGATTAAAAACGGTCTTTTCCAAATCATTTTAAGATTCAGCGCTCAGTACATTCAGAAAACTGGTAATACAAATGCAACTGATGTATTTTCTAAGTATTGTTTTAAATGTTTATACCAGTCCTGTAACTGGACATGAACCCGAGCCACAGTTCAAACATGAAAATCCCGTCACATATGAGCAATATTATTTCTGAAGAAGCTGATATAGCGGAAATTCTTTTACTATGTCCTGAAAGTACAAGTATATTCTGAGCTCTTTAATCTGTCTTTAATTGAGTATATCAAAACAACTGAGAGATGTAGCAATTTAAACATATATGCTTCATAATGTGGATGTATTTGAGGTTTTTTTCTTTGCATTAATATCTGATGGACATAATTGCTTCTCCTTCATATGTCTAAATTCTTGTTTCTGTTAGCTGAAGTTAGTGATTACCTCGTGGTAGAACAGTAAAGATCAGGACTTCATAATTCATGCAATCATCATATTTTAGCATATAAA